CTACGTGAATAGCGTAGCTGAATTCGACGTATCGCAGCCGACTTACCCCGTTGTGAGGACGGCGGCAAAATCGACTTCTGCGGCTTTCTGTCGGCGGCGCTTACTACCACCTCTGCTGGTGGAGTAAGAGCGCCGATTCGGGGATCGATTGTCGCGTCCCGACGGGACGCGATAAATCGATCCCCGAGAGGTCGATTTCTACCCGCCGATTCAGGCGGGTAGTATAGACCTAGCCTTGGGGAAGGGGCGGGGTAGGGGCGGGGTAGGGGATGAGGCAAGGGTGTTTGGCTTTGTGCAATTGGAAAGTTGGCAGTCCTAGTAAGAGTTCTGATCCCTTTATTACCAAAGGGACTTTTAGTCCCTCTAGAAATTTCACAAGCGTAATCTTTCTCATTAAGCTTTAATTACTTCATGGTGTCACTGGGGTTTGCTTGTAGGGTTTCTGTTTCTGGACAAAGGCAGGTAGGATAGGGGCTTTGTAAACAAACCAGTTAGGGGAAGGATCCTACAGGACTGAAACTTTCTGGACTTCGCCAAATCAAGCTTTGGGGAGAAGCTTCAAGCAGGCGTCCCAGGTGCTCCTCAGTTAAAGCCCTTTGCTTAAAGGACACCCAAGAAATGACTTCGCTTTTAGCAGCCTCTGTAGCTGAGTAGGCCTTGATGTTTGAATATTCTGGGTGAGCTTCCTTGTTGCTGTTGTCCAGCAGAAGTTCCATTTTTCCCTCTGTCCCTACGGCTGTCTAGCTTTGTATGAAACAAGTATGTCTGTGATTTGTGTTCCTGCTGAGCTAATGAGAAAATTCACAGATAATGTGTAGATTTCATGAAATATTCAAAAGGTCTCCGTGTTAACATTTTAAATAAAAACTTTTCCCCCTCCCCCCAAACAAGCAAGAGGACTAATCCGTCTCTGTTTTTCCTTAGGAAGCTGCACAGTGGTATGAAGACTTATGGATGTGAGTTGTGTGGGAAACGATTCTTGGATAGCTTGCGGCTCCGAATGCACTTACTGGCTCACTCAGGTAGGTGTAGAGACATTGATGCTGCGTGAGGCGAATGCTGCCTCTGTCATACTGACCCAAATCTATTGAAACTCCCAGACAAACTTTAAGAGTGCGCATGTGTGTAGGGTCGGGTAGTTATTTTAACCATTTTAGAATGGTAAATTATGAATATATTCCCTTTTTATTCCAGACCTAGTTACTTCAATTTTCAGAGTTTTTGTTTTCAGTTCTTTAACTGGGGAAATGTTTGCAGGTCCTCAGGAGTTTGGAATAACAAACTTGGACTACTGCATGGCTGAGTGCTATTCGATTGCCTCCATCCACTTGGGCCATGATATTGGAGTGGTTTTCCTCCGTGTGTGCGTGTGAATGCTGTATTTGCCACGTACAGGCACCCACTGCAGTTTCATTAGCAAAACTGTTGCAGAATTAGGCACTCCGTCTAATGAATCTAACTATTGGGTTCAAATTATGCAGGCCCTTTAATTAAATAGATATAGAAAGGTTGGAATGCTAAACTAGTGAGAAGATGTTGTTGTGTTTTGCAAGTTAATTTAGTCTGAAATTCCTATTGGGCGCACAGCCCCATATGCAATTAGTTTTTGTATTTAAAAAAAAAAACGCAGGCAGCCACTGGATCCATTTGCTCAAAGGTGAAGTGTACGTACAAATCCATGTCTCATTCATTCAAGGTTAAATCACTTAGGGTATGTTCACACTGCTCACTAAGCCTGGGCGCTTACTCAGATTTGAGCTCACGCCCCACGCTTCCGTCCACACGCACAAATCCGTCTGCGTCGGGTCAGCAAACACTCAGGACTGAGGTCCTGCAATACTGCTGGGGAGGTGGGTCAGAGCCCACGTCCCACTGTGACTCGGGTGCAAGCCCTGTTAATTTGCAGGTCTGGACACAGGTCAGTCCTGAGTCAGAAGGTCTCTGTAGCGCAGTATGGATACATTAGTACAGCTCTGAGACCTGGCTCCAGCCATCGTAAAGCCAAGTTTACAGACACACAAATGCAGGCTTGGAAACGCCGAGTCCACAAGCCCAGGTCCCGCAGACTTAGGCTTAGTGTGCAGGATAGACATAACTGCAACACTACCAAAAAACCCATCCAGGCAGCAGTGAGGCTGAGCCTATGTCAACTGACTCCAGCTCGGAGGACTTGTGATAGGGAGCTTAAAATAGCAGTGTAGACATCCTTGCTCGGGCTGGAGCCTGGGCTCTGAAACCCAGTGAGGGGGAACACCTATATTGCTATTTTTAGCTGTGCACTGCATGCCTCAGTCAGCCTACCTGGGCTCTGAGACGCTGCTTTGGGGTGGTTTTTTTTCTTGCAGTGTGGACGCACCCTTAGGGTCCACATGAGTTTACAAGGCTGCACATTCGGAGTAATTTTGGAAGGATGCTAGCATCCCTGTAGAACTTTCTGCCATATGGTCTGTAGGAATAAGCACAGGGTGGGGAGTCAGAAGGCAGTGAGTTGTAATCCTTCCTCTGCTATTCCCTCCCTATGTGGCCTTGGGCAAGTCACTGCACCTTCTGTTCGTTTGTTTTACCTTCGTGCCTAGGAGCCCTAGTCATTGACCAGGCCCTCATTGTGCTAGGCGCTGTACAAACACAGAACAAACAGTCCGTTTCCCCACCTGTCAAATGGCGATAATTAACACTTACTCACCTACCTCCATAAAATGCTAAGGGTTCTGATCCCTGCCAGGGCTTTAAATAGTGACTGGTAACAAGTATGAGAGATTAGATACAGGATAATTCTCTAACTCCTGTTCCTGCATCTCATGGAAGTGCTGCTGCTGTCCTTGTTCTTTAAGCACTGAGAGCTGCTTCTGCCATTCTGCTTGGGTCAGAGTGGGAACCGAAGCACACGCATATCTCCTAGTAGATGATCCCTGGATGGTTGATCACGGATCACTGAATCTCCTCTGACATACACCAGCAGCACATGGACTCTAGAGGTCCTGACAGGGCTAGAATAAACACGATCCTTTGACCATAGACATGCAAACAAATGTGGGATAAACCACCAATAAAGAGATGGTGCACAGTAAATACAATCAGTTTTTTTTTCAAATGCTTCACAAATTGTTTTCTGTGGAGGATGAGCACGCAGCGTCTCTCTTATTCCTCCGTTTTTTTTTTCTGCAGTGTGTGCTTGGTCCTGGGTATTGACGCTATATTTCTTTTAATCTTGATTTATGAGAAATTAAACTTGGAGGGGGAAGAGGGCTGCATGGCACACGGGGAGTAAGACAGCAAGCTCTCGGGTATCATTTCAAAGCTGGCATAAGTCACCAGTGAACTGAGTTTGAGAGGATCTCAGAATAGTCTCCAAGGGTCTCTTCTCCATAGCACAGAATTACCCAGCAACATGGCATAATTGGCAGCCATTGCTTAAGGGGGAGGCGTGTGGCTGGAATACGGGAAGCAGGTCATGTGTGAGGTACCCCAGCAGGTCTGGTCATGTAGGGGCTTGCGCAGAGCTAAGCCGTATTGCGCCTGGCTTTCCCTATTGCTCTGTGTTGATGGAGGATGGGCAGCTAGACTCCACAAGAGGACTCACCGTGCACATGGTTGAGGAGGGCTAGATTTTCCCGTTGTGAGAATAAGGGATGATTCCGTTCCATTGTATCCAAGCCACCCGAGTCTGGAGGGTTGTTGGGGATTGTTCTAGTCTCTAAAAGAAATGCTCCTGACCCAGTAAGAGCTCGCACCTCTGAGTCCCAGCTTTGAGAGCCTGGCCCTAAATGAGCTGAACTTCCAGCTGTCCTGTGGGGAGGTGTTAGGTGCAATTTAGTACCTCCCCCGAGAAGGGCATGGATTGGGGGCATGGCGCTGTTGGGAGATGGATGACAGAAACTGGAGCCAGGAATCTTGCAGCTGCTATACAGGTTTCTTCCCAGACCTCTGGCAATTCACCTTGCTCCCTTCCTCTGGCATCTCTACCCCTTTACTTATGGGCCTCTCCTCAACACTTCGTGTCAGGTGCGTGAATGGTCTCTGGAATACCAATGCACCACAGAATCCCCCTGCACAGTAACCTTGCACAAATACTGAATGGTATTGCGGTAATACCTAGAATGCTTGTGTGCTAGGCGCTGTACAGACCGAGTGAAGATCTGTTCACTGTTCCTCCTCTCTTGTCGCCCAAGGCTGACTCTGAACTCCTGGTGCATGATGGTGATAGTAGTCAATGTATTAGGCTATCTGCCCACGCCTGGATCCTCCCACATGCGTGAGTTTGGCATTCCAAATGGAAATGAATCCAGCCGCTGTTGAGCTGTATTTCCTTGACACCCCACCTCTTAAAAAAACCAAGAGCAATAACTCCAGTGCTGCTGCTTTCTTCTGTGTCCTGTACCCAGGCTAGTGTTCCTTCATACATATCTGAGAGTCAGCTGTGACTGGCTTTATAAAGAGAGTCCCATTATAGATTTTATTCTAAAAAATACTAGTTATAAATCAATGAAAAGAAAATGGCCCCGTTTTATTTCTGCCTTTAAGGCCTGATCCTGCACGCACTTAACTCCGCATGATCCTAATTCTCAGGCGTAGGCAACTTGCCCCCCTTTGTCCTCACAGTGACACGCACGACTCCCAGCAGTAAGTATTTGCAGGATTGGATCCTCTGATTTGATGCCATTTTAATTGGGCCGGATTCTGACCGGCGTTACGGTCAGGTGTAGGTTCCCGGAGTCGCTCCCCTGAAGCCAACGGAGTGAATCCAGGTCGCACTTGCAGTGCTCTAGGCAATGGTGCCAGCTGTCTGGTGATGAATATACGCTGTCTGGGGAGGGTGCATCGCTTGCCGCCTCTGAGGCCCTGGTTAATGCCTGGCATTGTGGCAGGCCGCGTGTACTGCACTTAGCATCTCAGCTGTGTTTTCCCTTCCCCCTCCTCCTCCTCCTCCCCCTTTTTTGGCTTGCGCTGCCTGTGTTTGTTGTTGTCATTTTGGCCCCGTGCCAGTCGCTGGCTGGCTGCCAGCCTTGTGGGTACAGTATGTACAGTGAACGTTGAGCCAAGTTTGTCATCATACAAGATTAATTTTTTTTCTAATCTGTCTGGGGTTGGGTGAAATCGGAGGGAGAGGAGGCAGAAGGAGCGGTTTGAACGCTCGAAAACAGCCGCATTAAATTCCAGCACTGTTGTTTATTAAAACACGAGACCTTTGCGCCTCTTATTTCCCCTTCTTTCCCCCCACCCTGCCCCCCCATGAAATGAGGTCATATTGGAGCCACAACGTGAGTTCATATTTTCAGTGACTAGCATACTAAAATTAATCTCCTAAATCAGTTTTCATTGCCCAAATTGACAATTTGTTTAATTAGAAATTTGCCCTGTAGGAGACCCTTACGACTTGGGGTCCCCCCAGCTCCTCAAAAGGCCTTAGATGATGGCAGTAGTAAATGTTCAGTTTAATTGAAGTTTTTTCATTTCAGTTGTAATGTGTTCAACTAATCAAATGTTTGAGGGATACCTGATGATCAAGAGAAGTTTAATTAACGAACAATAAACTTAATGAATTAACTAACGAGATTGTTTTGGCCCGTCCTGGTTCTGTGACTCCTATTGAGGTCATATTGCACTGTAATGGGGGTTGAGGGGCTTGGGGAGGGATGAGCACTAAATCGGTGCTTATTTTATAACCTACAGTTCAATGCATGGCTTGAACTGTAGGTTATAACATACAGTTCAATGCATCTCCTTTCACATAACCTGCTGTCAGTTTCGGTGATGTGCTGGGGGAAATCTTTTTGGGGGGTTTCCTGTCAATGGGAAAGGAGAAATGCTCTGAGGCAGCTTTGGGAGATTAGTTAGAAAGTTTTTTCCTCTCTTTCTCCCACTTTTAGATTTCTCTGGGAAGCTTAGAGTCTGTGGGGCCAGATCCTCAGCTGGTATAACTAGACATAGCTCCAGTATCTGGCCCTCACTCTCTGGTGCTCAATTCAGTTTCTATCCGTTTTATTTAGCGAGGAAAAGAGCAAGGGGGTGAATCTGCATTGTT